GGTTTCTTAACAAAATAGCCGTTATCTAGTCTCTCTTAACATTTAAAGGAGATTATTAAGAAATTGAAATGATGAGGGATCTCCGGCAGGCCAGCTGAATATAGCCTGCTGTGGGGCAGGGCGTTAACTCCGCAATGTGCTAGCTAGCTATTGATTGTGACTGTGAGTACCGATATTGAGTTATATATATATATATATATATATTGGGGTTAAAGACACATTTGGTCACTGAGATTACAAAATCGGGACATGTTTAGTCACTAGAAAAAATTAATATCAAATTTGGTCACTACAATTACTAAAACTGGACACATATAGTCACTCGCCGTTAGTCTCCGTCCAACTCCGTTAATGAAGTCCGTTAAGTGATGATGTGACAAACAGAATTGCCTAATCAGCCGGATATAACCCAACAAAAATAAAACCTGACCCGCCACATCATTATAACCCGCCACGTCATTTAAACCAACCCAACCCTTCTTCCTCCTTCCTCTCACCTCCTTCTTTCCCCAAAACCACCGCCACTCTCCTCCTTCCTCCCACCACCTTCCAACCCACCCAGAAAACCAAAAAAAACCCTTTCCCACTTCTCACCTGCTAATCCAAGGAAAATTCCCTTTTTCCATGAACAAAATGCAAGAGACTAGAATGGAATATTCAACCGAGGGGAATCAATTCTTTTAAAAAAATGCAAAATTCCAAAGTTACAACAGAACATTGTGAGTCAATAGTACAGAATCGAAGAAGAAAGGAATATTCCACCCAATCTCCCAAGATCATGGCATTACTACTAAGACTTGCGGGGTCTTCCTCTCTTACCAGCAGGCTTTACCTGGGAAGCAGCATTGTTGTTGTTGGTTTTGTTCGCCGACGGGGGGCGGCCGCGCCCACGCCCTGACGGCGCTTTTCCGCCTCGTGCACTCTTCTTCGGAGCTTTCTTCTTGCCATTGGAGAGTCCTTCGTTGTCGTCGCTCTCATTGTCGCGGTCGTCACCACTGTTGGCTTCTTCATCGTCGTCCTCTGATTCGGATGAATCATCTTTGGACGACTTCTTCCGCTTCTTTGCACTGTCGGGAGATTTGGGGAAAGAAGGAGGTGAGAGGAAGGAGGAAGAAGGGTTGGGTGGAGTTGGGTCATGGGTTGGGTTGGTTTAAATGACGTGGCGGGTCGGGTTTTATTTTTGTTGGGTTATATCCGGCTGATTAGGCAATTCTGTTTGCCACATCATCACTTAACGGACTTCATTAATGGAGTTGGACGGAGACTAACGGCGAGTGACTAAATGTGTCCAGTTTTAGTAATTATAGTGACCATATTTGATATTAATTTTTTCTAGTGACTAAACATGTCCCGATCTTGTAATCTCAGTGACCAAATGTGTCTTTAACCCATATATATTGAGTTGTATATATATAGTATCGTAAGTGGATGGGCAAAGCGTGATGGCCGGGGTCCGGGGAGGCAGCAATTGAGCGGCGGCGCCGTTGTTTGACCACCGCGATGTGGGGTGCCAGACTGCCAGTCATATTGTTTTACATTTGAGACAAATAAGTTTCGGTGACTTCTAGCTAGCTAGCCAGCCAGCCATTGGATTTTGGGAACTCGCAATAGCCATACAATCATATGAGTACTATTACGTCCATTCCCCTGCATTACTGGTGTTAGGAATGACAATGCGAGCAAGTCGGACGAGTATTTCGGTATTCATACTGATATTGTGGTAGATCGGGTTCAGGTTGGGTATTTTTTTGTCTTGGGGGTACGGGTAGGGAATGTCGACCCATACATGTATGTATTGTAACGGAAAAAAATACTTGATATATTGATTATTTTCATTAAAAATTTGACGAAGAAACTATTGCGTGATAAGTGTAGTTAAGTTATTAAAGAAATTGAGATTCTCGTCTATCTAAAACTTTAGGGTTAAAGACACATTTGGTCACTGAGATTACAAAATCGGGACATGTTTAGTCACTAGAAAAAATTAATATCAAATTTGGTCACTATAATTACTAAAACTGGACACATTTAGTCACTCGCCGTTAGTCTCCGTCCAACTCCGTTAATGAAGTCCGTTAAGTGATGATGTGGCAAACAGAATTGCCTAATCAGCCGGATATAACCCAACAAAAATAAAACCCGACCCGCCACGTCATTATAACCCGCCACATCATTAAAACCAACCCAACCCATGACCCAACCCCACCCAACCCTTCTTCCTCCTTCCTCTCACCTCCTTCTTTCCCCAAAATTGCCGCCGCCGCTCTCCTCCTTCCTCCCACCTCCTCCCGCAAACCTATGGACAAAAAAAAACAACAACAAATGACTTCCAGAACTCGAATCCAAGACTATCTGCACCTGCCTCTTAATCATTTTCACTACCCTTTAATAACCCTTTGTCCAACTTCCTCATTCCTATCTCGACCATTTCTCGAATTGATCACCCACAATGCTCTTCTGGGTCAACTCTACCCATTATCAATGTGCTTGATGGAATGATGGACAGCAGTAGAAATGACCTCATTTACCTGCCTTTTCCCCTTGTTACCATAATCAATCAATCCCACCAAAAGGAAATAATAGGGGGAGTAAATTGGAAAACCTCCTCTTCTCTCTCGCGGATACCTGCAATGCAATCCCTGGCTCAACCGCAATCACGGCACAGTGTACCCTTCCAGCAATTTCCGTTCTTTTTTTTCCGCAACATTAGTTTCTGATTTTTGCGTTCATCGTAGGAAGAGGAAGTGTGGCCACTGCGGTCACAGTTGCAGCCCCTGAATGCGAGAGTCGCCACAGGGTTGAATCACCCACAGGGGTCCAGTTCTGTTTGGTGCTTGAACAGGTTTGCGGGAGGAGGTGGGAGAAAGGAGGAGAGCGGCGGCGGTGGTTTTCGAGAAAGAAGGAGGTGAGAGGAAGGAGGAAGAAGGGTTGGGTGGGGTTGGGTCATGGGTTGAGTTGGGTTGGTTTTAATGACGTGGCGGGTCGGGTTTTATTTTTGTTGGGTTATATCCGGCTGATTAGGCAATTCTGTTTGCCACATCATCACTTAACAGACTTTATTAACGGAGTTGGACGGAGACTAACGGCGAGTGACTAAATGTGTCCAGGTTTAGTAATTGTAGTGACCAAATTTGATATTAATTTTTTCTAGTGATTAAACATGTCCCAATTTTGTAATCTCAGTGACCAAATGTGTCTTTAACCCAAAAATTTTATTATAGCTAAAATACGATGTACAAAGTAATATCCTAACTACTTTCTATAAAATTACATATAATTAAGTTACACAATAACGGGTCGAGAATGAGGCAGGCAGAGGGCGAGTCAGGTCGAGTATAGTAATCATGTCTGCTCCAATAGGGAGGACATGGACCAACCTGACAAAATAATAAATGCGGCATCCATCACCATCTTCCTTGCCTTCCAGGTATCTCTGTCTATCCATCTAAGCCAAAGAGGGCAACATTTCAAAAAGAGAAAGAAACATGAAAGCCACCTACAAATACAATTGACCTTCACCATCGCCACCCTTAATTAGATAGCAGTCTACCATTCTGGAGGTTCAATTCAAACATGGCCTGCGCCAACTTGATCCCAACACATTAAATAAATATTAATAATAATAATGCAAGTGGATCCCTTTATTTTTCTACTTTAACGACGTCGTCCATCTCCATGCAATTTCTTCTGACCACTCCCTTCTCCAATTATCATCCATCCATATCGGGTCAACTCCTCGTGTATCCATAAATGAAAGAAACTGCCTCTCCCTCTCATCCATTCTCTTTCTAGCTTGGCTCTTCTAGCTACTACTGCCCGCCCACATAGAAACAGAAGAAGATGCAACAATAAAAGTCATGATTATCAAACTAAAATTATGCTGATTATTATTTATTGGCTCTTGTCAACCTTTAACGCTGGCAGCAGCATGCAGTACTTTAAGGTTAATTACTCAGGTTGTTGAAACTTATATTAGGGTTGTAAGTTGTAACCGTTGTTTTGTCAATCGACACGGAGTCCGTTTATTCCAAGATAAACGCACCGAATTTAGACCTCTGAGATTCGGGGTTTTTTTTGTTTGTCAAAGTAGTCTGTAACATGGCTCCGTTTGTAGTTTAATGCAAATTAGTTAGTTAATATATTTAAGACAGTTTCCACATTAATGTCAAACTATCCAGCCATACAACCTGCTAGCTAGCTATGTCCATATATTCTTTTTATATATTTATATAGTATAGTAGTTAATAGCAGTACTAGTTCTTGAGAAGTGAAGCTGCAGTTACCACGAGCAGATAGTAGAAAACGGGTTCTGATGATTTGCTACCTCACTTTGAAATACGTTCTCTCGAAGTGAGGGAAACAAAATTGCTCAACCAAAGGAACGAAAGTTTAAGCTTAAAGGGCGGCTGTCTGTCGTTCAAGATCCAAGTTAGTACTGGCAAAGATTTATTGATTCCTTAAGAAATTAGGTTTGGGCTCGACAGTTCGACATGTTCCATTCCTCTTTCACCTGAATTCATATACTTCTTAAATTGAAGCATCGATCATTTTTCTTTATCATGTCTGTGCCGACTAATCGCCTCACACACGAGGTATATACTATATACTACAAATCTCAGATCTCTAGTAGGACTCTTATTAGATGTAAGAGAGACAAATGCTGGAAGAGAGAAGAAAGTGGGGTTTGATTAACTAATAATTAAGCCAAATAGTCTTCAATCCCTTATGATCTTAGAATATAAGTACTTTAATTTGCTCAAGAACATGGGTTACCTAGTTCAGCTGCAACAATTTCGCATCACCATTTGAACCTGTGCTTGCAAGTTTGAAATTCATTCATCTGACCGAGAAATTTATACTAGGAAATAAGCAGCTAGCAACGTCATTTCCATCTACCTGTACTACAAAATTCACTAGCCAAAATGGGTTGCTACATGTTAATGTTCTTAACCAACAGCTATTTAATTATTAGATCAAGAATAAGTTAGATCATTATAAGCATACAATATTTCATCTTATTAATGACAAACCCTAGTGATCGAGAAATCACAATGGCCGTGAAAAATTGATTTTGAAAGAATGACAATCTGATTGATTTTGAAAGAATGACAATCAACTCGTTTGAATCCAGTTTACAATTAGGATTATAGATAGATCATTATTCGAATCTTTCCTCAAAATTCATATAATCCAAAGAACAAACGAAGTATGAATCTTCCCTTCAGGAAAAAAAAAGTATGTGTTCATTGAGGAAGGCACAATTTTATGCCCTGTTTCTGTATAAATCTGTACATCCGAGATATGGTCAATTTTATGTAGAAGAAGAAAAATTGATATGGTTCCTATAATAATTTGACTACCAATCTTAATCTTATACTGAATCTGTACTTCTTTTCCAAATGGAATCTCAGGCCGCCGCCGGATAAGAACAGAGCAAAGTCGCCGGCACACAAGGCGAGCTCCTCCAAACACGGGCGTGCAGCCTCAGAATCTCTCTCGCCTTATCCTTCGCCCTCGCGCTGCTCTCCACCTGCAGCACCAAGCACAGCTTCGCCACCACGCCGATCTGCAGCATCTCCTGCAACACGGCCGCCGTCGCCGACGACTTCCCCACTGACAGCAAGATCCTCACCGCCTTCTCCGTCGCCGCCGTCGACACCCGCAGTATCTTCTTGCTCACCACCGCCAGCCCCGCCGCGTGCTTAAGAAGCTCCGCCCTCCCTTCCGCGCATTGGCACAGCACGTCCAGCGCCGCGAGCGCCAGCTCGCAGGCCCGCCTGCTCTCCGACTCCGACGGGGAGTCGAGGAGCAGGTCGACGAGGGCCGGAACCGCCCCGGACTCCACCGCCTTGACGCGGTTCCGGCCCCACGGGCACAGCTCGACCAGGAGCCCCAGTGCGGCTTTGGTCGCCTGCCTCGACACGCGGTCCCTGACCATCTGGACCACCTCCGCGAGGAACCCGGCCCGGACCCCGATGATTCGGAGCGGGTCCGCCACGCGGAAGGCTGACCTGGAAATCAGGACAGCGTATGCGCGAGACTCGTACGTCCCCCGCTGCATGACTCGCGTCAGCGAGTTGATAAACTCGCAGTTCCTGTTCACCAGAGCCTTCAGCGCGGGCTCCGAGATCTGGAGCCCGTGTAGGAGGCTGAGCGCCTCGTCGCAGGGACTGGAGCCGAACTGCTCGATGCAGTCCAGCTCCACGTCGTGGTTGAAGTCGACCACGATCGAGGCCAGGAAGTCGACCACTCCCGGGGCCTGCTCGATGCACCGCCGGTTGGCCTCGCTCTCTTTTGCGAGAGACCTGAGCTGCCTCAGGCATTTGACCTGGTGGTAATGTGGGGATGAGGATGTGGCGGCGGAGTGGATGAGCTTCGAGATTTGGGCTTTAGTGACGGGAGGTTTAGGGGTGGGGATGCGTTCGAAGCCGTGGGAGGCGTTGAGGGTGCACCATGACTGGATGAGGCGGCGGAGGATGATGTTGGGGGTGAGGTCGGCGTCCGGCGGGATGGGCTGATTGGTGACGGGACACGTGGCGGCGGAGGAGGAGGAGAGCCAGCGCTCGATGCTGTCGCGGTCGTAGGTGATGCCGGTGGGGACGGTGACCGGATCCTTCATGATTTGGAGGGAGATGGGGCAGAGGAAGAAGGATGGGACGTCGATCTCCGGCTCCATTATTGCTTCTTCTTCTCCGATGAGTAGTTGGCGGCTATTCACGACCGTTGAAGGGTTATCTCTGGGAGTAGTTTGAGAGAGTTGAACTTTTTTTATTTGGGTTGGATTGTTTGGTTGATGGAAGTAGGAGGGAAGAGGAGTTTGTGGTGGGTTTTATATAAGAGGAGGAAAGGGAGTAGAAGGTCAAAGGTGCAAATGTCAAAACACGGCAACTACAGCAGCAATACAGAAAGAAAGAGAGAGAGAGAGAGAGAATGACTTTTCAACGGTGGTGGGAGGGTTGGAAAGCCAAGCCAAGCTAGTTCTAAAAGGGTATAATGGTTGAGCATAACTACTACTTCTTTTGGTCTTCGAAATGATAAAGGAAAATTATATATTTTTATATTTGGATAAATTGTAAGTATGGTCACTAGGATAATAGGATTACTAAATTGTTTCTCATTTCCCACTAAAAATATTTTACTCTATTTGAAGTCACTTAAATTAGTTCATTAGTTTAAATGTGGTCACTGATTTCACATTCCCTCAATTTTCGTTAACGGCTGACAGCAAAATTTAACCTAAAAAAATGTAAAATTCAACCCGTTAAGTCATAACAACGACTGACTCGATCTGTCTTCTCCTTCAATTTGCGGCGTGGTGTTCGCATAATGGCTTGTGGGTTGTGGCCGTGCAGGAGAGATATGTGAAATGGAGGGAGAGTTGGTGGTGGGAGGAACATGAGAACGAAGGAGAAGAAGAAGAAGAAGAAGAAGTGTTCAGTAGCTCGGAGACTGAGACAATAATGGCAGAGAATGATATGAAGCCGAAGCGTTTGAAAGAGGAGACGGGGCAAGAGGAGGGGATTCGATGGAGGCGGTTGGTTTTGATGAGAGTGCATGGTACGGTAGAGTCACATGTTGGGTTTGGTCGGGTAATGAGTTGAGGTTGGCTTTGAGGACTTGACAAGTTTTGATGATGTGGGGAGTCGGGTATAAATTTTTTCGAGTTGAAATAAACTAATTAAGCGTTTCTATTAGTCACGTTACCAGTTAACTTACGTTGCTAACGGAAACTGACGGAAGGTAATGACCACTGATCAAACTTGCACTAATTGATCATGAAAGAAATAAAATAGTTATAGTGGTAAGTGTGAAATTTTTTATAGTTCCCGTGATCAAACTTGCAATTTAACCATTTTATTTTATTATTTTTTATAATCTTTTATTTTATTATTAGTTTGGAGGACTTTAGTAGAATGGAAAATCCAATCTGGCCCCTTTTGACTTTCTCTCTCTAGGAACTTCCTTAGCGTTGTATTGATAAATTCTCTGTCCACCTCGTGTTTATTGAGTGTGGGAGATTGGCTTGCCAGTTGCCATTGCCGACAAAAGGTCGTCGTTGCTTCTTTCGCGGGGCCGTCCCATTTGCTCTTTGCTGATAACTACTGCAGTTGTCTGGCTAAGTGCTTTCTTTTTCGTTTTTAACTTTGCTCTTCATTAGATAACTATTTTATCAAGTAATGTAAGGTGATGGATTGAATGACGATAAATCTCCAAGAACAGTAGTAAATTTTTTGGAAGATCCAAGTGCAGCTGTAGTAAATTTTGGTCCGAGGGACATTTAGGTCGTATTGATGTTGCTAGCATTTGTATCCTCTTTTGCATTATGTACAAAATAATGCTAAAGGTTATCACTTATCACTTTTAATCTAACAGTTGAGGTATGAGTGTAAGGATAATGCAACAACATAGGCACATACTATGTTCAATTGCAAGAGCTTGGAGCGATTTTGAAATGTTAGCGAGTGATATAAAATTCAATATTAACCTTCTCCCAACAACTCGAATTATTGTGACGAACTGGTTTATGATTTAGTGTCAGAGATGGTTTGACTAAGTGAATGTGTGTACGAATATTCACGAACCGTAATAACAACAGTTGATTTAAATACAATGTATGGGGGCGTACTAGAGAGCGATATACTATCCAACTATTAACCTTCTACTAACTGCTCGAGCGATTGGAACCAACAGATTGATGACAGGAGAACAAGTATGACTTATTTTATTAATAGATGGGAGAACATTAGATAGTTCGTTTTGTAGCTATATAATATATATCCATTCTAAAATTATAATTAATACAAAATTAAATAACACACTGGCTGAGCAGGCTCTACTAACAAAATCATGGAAAGCATGATTTGTAAAGATATGTTTGGAAGGGGGTGTGTGATCCTTGTTGATCCGTGTCTACACAAGAACATTTATACTAATTATATCAACGTGAAAGATTTTGATTCTGGAGTTTAATTTGATAGATGACAGATTCGATATTGTTTTAGCAATATTCGTATAATACTTAATTACTCCTAGTTAGGTATTCGAATTATGATATGATGATATTGTTAGAAGTTAGAGGATTATTATGTAATTAACCCTTTGGGGTTAGTGTAGTTCAACCTAGTATGTATTGTGGAGAAGGTCATATTATTACTGTAACAGATACGTAAGGATAAGAATTATAAACTGCCTTGTGCCGTGGACTAGTCTCAATAATTATCAATGAGGAAACTATGTAAATCTTCTTTCGATTCAGTTAGGGTTTTGACATGATATCAGAGTCTCACACTTTTGATTACTGAGATTCTCGTTATGGACTGCGAGCTGGGATTCGGCTGCTCGTCGTTTTTGTGCTTCTCGTTAGTGGGTGGCAGCTTTCTTGCTCTTCTGCGTTGGTCTTCTCTCTCGCTGTTGGCTGATTTTTGTTTTTTGTTTTTTTTTGTCTTCTCCAGTCGCGTGCTCGGAGCTTTACGGCACGGCTGTCTTTTGCTTCCCTTTCCACGTGCCTGGGTATGGGAACTTCTTTGTGTTCTGCATCTTTGTATCGACTGCTGTCCTTAGTATATTATTTCTTGTCTTTACATCATCATGGAGGGATTGAAGAATGATGCCATTGCCGTCATTTTACCGGTAAGAACTATGCAATGTGAGCCTTTCGATTCAAGCTTCATGTTCAAGGTCGAAGTTTGCTGTCTTGTTTTGATGGTTCGGACAAAGAACCAGATGCAGATGCGACGCCGAGGATTGGGATTCATCCAATGCTAGTATTATGTGTTTGTTGCTCGGTACGATGGAACCAGGCTTTGCTATGTGATAGACCAATAATTACACATGTTTTTAACCCTATTCTTGAGCCGTTTGAGATGTTGATTCTCGTATTTTAGGCCGACTTCACGCTAGGTTGTACTTGTTTGTGATATTTCAGGTCCTAGTACGTGAATGAAGGTTTGGGAACGAGTTCGGGGTCGATTGGACGAAGTTTGGACGTTTGGCGAGAAGCTGGGAAGCCACACGGGCACCATTGCACCTCACACAGCCGTGTAGGGGCCCCTTGTGGCCGTGTGAAGGCTCGGTAAAAGCCACACGGGCAGCCTGGGGAGCCACACGGCCGTGTGGCCTCTGCCCGTGCAGCTTGCCTGGTTGCCCACTAATCGAAACGCCGCGTTTGGACACTCACACGGGCAGCTGGGAAATTCACACGGCCGTGTGGCCTGCCCGTGTGAGTCGGGAATTCTGGTTTTAAGCCAATTTCGAGCCAAAGGAGATAGAGAGAGCTGGGTTTTGGTTCCCAAACACCCAAGGGACGAACCCTAGAGAGAGAGAAAGCGACTTGGGAACATTCTTTGAGCTATTTTGGAGGATTTCTTCGCCATTGGAGCTCGGGAATCAAGTTTGGAGATGGAGATTGAAGATCTAGATCAGATTTCTGCAGTCTCTCTCTTCTCTATGGAGTAACTTCCCTTCACTTAGGTTTTGAGGAACCCTAGTTCCATGTGTTAGGATCTTTCTTGTATGAAGTTTTGGATGTTATATTGTTTGATTATAATCGATTGAGGCATGACTTATTGAGTCAATTGAATCTTGATCAAATTCTCTTGATTTCTGCTTTAACCTATGATAGATAGAATCTGATTAGGTTAAGAGAGCTTCCTTGATTGATAGTGGTGAATTGGTTGTGTGAGAGTCAATCAATTCACTTCTTTGTACTGGAATTCATTCCAGTAGTGGAGATTTGTGTGAATCGCCTTAATAGTCTATCTCGGTGAAGGCTAGTCGCCTGGCGGGTATTCTGTCTAAGAGGGCTTGGTCAGCTTAAGAGATTCCAAGCTAATTTAGGATCTTCCGCAGTTTAATCAACAGTAGATCAACCAAAGGTAATTATAACTTGGACCTAATTGAGGAGCTAGGGGGAATCATACCTAAGTGAGTTCCCAACTAGTAATTAGTAGAGTAGTTAGTAGAGTAGTTTAGTAAATCAATCCTTAATCTAGTTTGCTAGATAATGAACTGAAGCTGAGTAATAGTAACTCTAGAGACCCGTGGATTCGATATTTATTACTTGTGCCACTATACTGCAGTCCCTTTCATTGGTTACACTTGGCCATTGTTAGGTATTGTGTCGCAGCGTGCCAAGTTTTTGGCGCCGTTGCCGGGGACTTTCTAGATTATTAGGAAAGGCAGAAATTTGTTACTTTAGCGTTTTTTCTTTTCTTTTCTTTTCTACCCTTGCTTTTCACTTGGGTGTTTTTGTTTCTGTTGGTGCAGATTGGAATCATAGATCCTCATGGCTTCTCCAATCATTGGGGATATCCACCACCATCCGAGTGGTATTACCCCGACACTCCCTACAGCAATCAAGGAGGAGAAGACTATGGATTTGGGTTCCAGTGCCAACCCCCTTACTATGGAGAACAATCAGACCCCTGGGCATATCAAGAACAACCTCATTACCAAGAAGACATTCTCCCACAACCAGAAGGGCCATCTCAGCTTGAGTTACCCATGGCGGCCTTCACGGGCCACTCTGCAGAGCCATGCTACACTTCACTTGAAGATCCGAACAAACAATTAAGGCTTCTCGTGGAGCAGTTTGCTCGAGACATTGAGAGATCATGCTCCAAGATGGATCTTCAAATCAAAGCCCTTGCCCCTTCCGATCCCTCATTTCTCCATGATATGGAGGAGACTGTTCAGCGCTCAGCGAAGCAAACAGAGTGGGTGGAGCAAGTTTGCTCACATCTTGCTCAAGATCACCTTTCTGCTACCATGCTAGAAGAGGTGGAGGATGACAAAGGCTACGGG